GTGGGGGGGGGGGGGGGGTTGGTATTTCGTTAACGAAACGCTGATTCGTTGACAACATACTTTGTTCTATAGTCGACTTGACACGATGTCGATGGTGATAATCAGAAGACGTATCTGTAAAATGAATTTGTTAATCAAGGAGGTGAAATTAAAAACTCTTCAGTTGTTCTCTCGTATAGAACCGCTCGATTCTACGGTTAACGACACAAGTGAGGAAGAGGAAGACGAAGAAGAAGAAGATGATGAAGAAGAAGAAGAAGAAGAAGAAGACAATGAAGAAGAAGAAGAAGAAGAAGAAGAAGAAGACAATGAAGAAGAAGAAGAAGAAGAAGAAGACAAGTCAGAGCGTCGACCGGTATCTTGAAGCAGACCCTCAGAATAAAATGATACATGTTTCAGACGCATGAACCCTTGTCAGGTATTTCTTTCGTCTCCTCTGTCTACCTCTTGAGAGCTGCCGTGTTTATTCCTCCGTGTGCACTTTTATTCTGTTTAAGATTCTAAATCTAGATTTGAGATAATATCTCTGTGGTGTGTTCATGAACCTCTCAGCACAGAGAGGGCTGCTGTTGTTGTTGTTTTTTATCGTCGGGGAAACTTTCCGGTTGAACCGACAGATAAAACCCCACGGAGACGTTACGCGTTAAGAAAGACGCTCCAATTACTTCAGTGCAGACGAGAACAAAAGAGTTTGTTTGGCGGGAAAATCAGCTTCCGTTTGTATTTTTAGTCTCAGAGACTGAAACGATGGTGAGAGTTCACATCTCCACCGCTGAGGACAGAGACGTCCTGCTGCAGACTTTACATGTGCAATATATGGGAACACATTTAACATTATTATTAATCAGTCTGGTTTAAGTCGTTTTGATTCTCTTTGTTTTTCTGCATGTCGGTCTAGTTGTGTTTAGACAATTTAACGTAGAAAGGTCACATATTACCTTTAATCAAATATCCAATGAAAATGTGTTGTTTGATAAGTAACCTCTGACCTCGCTGTAATAACCTCTGAACACCGGCGGGTTGAACCAGGAACACGTGAGGGATCACTGGGTTTCACCATGAAAGAGACCGGTCCACTGTGGACAGACACAGATCCTCCAGCAGAGACCGGAATGTAATGAAAGTAACTGTTCAGTTAATGTGAAGAAGAACAAAGTCGACAGTTTCAGTTCTTACTTCAGCACATTTCAGTTTATTGTACAATCAGGTTAATTCACACCGAGCGGTCCATTGGATCATTAAAACTGGCCTCAACATGAAAACATTGTTAACACCTTCACAGACTGAAGGCCGGTCGGGTTCTTCAAGTTGCATCAAAATATGTACAGATAAAAAATATTACAAATCTTATTGAAAGACGAGTTGCAGCCGGAGAGAGAAAGAGAGGAGACGATGAAATGATGTTTAAAAAAAGCAAACATAAAACAGTGCGTGTCCAGCACACACACACACACACACACACACACACACACACACACACACACACTCCCTGAAGAGGAGGATTGAGGACTGTGGCTGTGTTGTTTCACATGCACGCTCACAAATGTTCAGATCCGTGGTTACAGCTTCAGAGACGGACGGAAAGAGAGAGATCTCCAAAAGAGGGTTTTTATTTTCTGCCACAGCAGCCGGCGTCACACAGACCGGCGACAGGCTGCCAGCCGGTGTTTTCGTTCCCAGCGCAGTGACCTCGTCCAGAGGAGGCGGGGCCTCCGGGGCTACGAACACTTCCACACACACACGGCCAGACTCCCTCCGAAGAACATGTAGAGCAGGTTCTTCACCTCGTGCGTCACCTCGAAGCCGAAGCCTTCTCCGATCACCACGTGCCACGAGCTGCCGAACTTCTTGTCCATGGACTCTTTGATCATCTTCGCTGCACTCTGGGGAACACGGGTTACATGTTAGACTCTTTATCAAACAAAACGTGTTCAGAGTGAGATTTAAAAGATCGAACACTTCATCTTCTTACTTCGTTGTTGGTGGCAAACTTCTCACAGGCCGTCACACAGAGCTCCATGGTCTCCACCCTCATCTCCTCCGGCATGTCGGTGTGCTGAGGACAAGATCAAAAGGTTAAAGGTCGACATCTTTACGTGACTCTCGTGAGGTTACAGCCACAATACCACGTTCTCATTTTAAAACACGTCTTTTGATACGTTTACGCCGAGCGGTCTCATCAGTCACGAATGGTATAAGACTGGGAGCACACAAACACTAGTGGTGTAACGGACCGTAGTGGATCAGTGCTGACCCCCCTCACAGTTTATCGTTAACCATCAGAGTAAATAAAGTTTATCGTTAACCATCACAGAGTAAATAAAGTTTATCGTTAAACTTTATTTAC